AAAAATTCCCATTTTTTCCCCTTCCAGACCTGCAGCATCTCCCTGAAGAGCTCCATGCCCAGCCCCCGGCGCTGTTGGGATTCGTGGATATAAAAATCCAGGACACAAAGAGGCTCCACCTCCACGTGGGACCCATCCCGGTCCTGGGGGACAGGAACACACCAAAAAAAAAAAAAATAAATAAAAGGGGACCCGAATTTGGGGGGATTTCACCCCAAAATCCCCCCGGGATTGTGCCAGGAACTCACCAGCAGGAAAAGTTTCTTGTAGCCAACCTTGAGGAATCCCAGCACGGAGCCTTTGGGGGAGCTGGGGGGAAAATTTGGGGGGGATTTAGGGAAATTTGGGGGGATTTGGGGTGAATTTGGGGAGATTTGAGGTGATTTGGGGTGAATTTGGGGAAATTTGGGGGAGATTTTGGGGGAATTTCAGGAAATTAGAGGGATTTGGGAATGATTTGCTAAAGATTGGGAGGGATTTGGGGAAATTTGGGAATAATTAGAGGTGTTTGGGGGCACTGGAGAGATTTGGAAGGGGAAAAGGGGATTTGAGAGAGGAATTTGGGACGTTTTAGAGAGATTTTGGGGGATTTGGAGGGAATTTGAGGGGGGATTTTAGGATCATTTTGGGGATCTCACCGGGTGTCCCTCAAGATGTACAGTACATACCAATTTGGGGTTTATTTTGAGGAGGTTTTGGGGATATTTTGGGGGTTTTTTAGGGATGTTTAGGGGATGTTTTGGGCTCTCAGCGGGTGTCCCTCAGGATGTACAGCACGTGCCCATTGGGGGTTTATTTTGAGGATATTTTGGGGATATTTTAGGGATATTTTGGGGATGTTTAGGGGATGTTTAGGGCTCTCACCGGGTGTCCCTCAGGATGTACAGCACGTGCCGGTTGCTCTCCATTCGGGCCGCGCTGGTCACGGGGGTGGAGAGGCCCTGGGCCTGCCTGGGGGGACACGGGACCCCCCCATGACCCCCCCGGGACCCTTGGTGACCCCTCATTCCCTCCCTGGACCCCCCCAATTCCCCCTTGGGACCCTCCTTTGACCTCCCATTGTCCTCAATGACCCCCCAGTATCCCCCTGAGACCCCCCCAGCTCCACCCTCCCATTGTCCCCAGTAACCTCCCAGTGCTCCCAGTGCCCCCCACCTTGGCCGAGGCCTTGCCCAGTTCATCGATCACCGTCCTCAGCTGCTGCTCCAGCTCCTCCCTGCGCAGAGGGGACACCGACAGGAGCCATTGTCATCCCACTTTCCCCTCACAAAAACCCCTAAACCCCCCCAAAACCCCCCAAAATCGTGGGGCCCGCCAGTTTCCCGGCATGCCCCGCGCCCGCCCTTCCCGCCCTGCCCCGCGCGAACCCCGGTACCGTTTGACGGTGCCGCCGCGCCCCGCGGGCCGCAGGTGCTGATCCACTACACAAAAGCGATCGCCCAGCACCGGGGCCAGGTCGAAAGGGAACTCCATGATTGAGCACCGGGCCCGGCCCGGCCCGGCCCGGCCTCGCCGCCGCCTCCGCCCGCCGGGCCCGGCCCGGCCGCCACCGCCACGGCCGCGCCCGGGCGGCAAAGAAACCACGCCCCCCGCGGGAAGGAATCAGCCAATCGCTGCCGGGCCCGCCAAGCGTCGACCAATCAGTGCGCTCCATTCTGCCGTCCTTAGCAACCGAGTCCCACCCGTAGCAACCGTCAGCCAATCGTTGTCGCTGCCGCGCCCGTCTCTAGCCACCAAATCCCGCCCTTAGCAACCGCCAGCCAATCGCTGCTGAGAATTTGACAGCCCTTAGCAACCGAGTCCTGCCCATGGCAATCGCTCACCAATGGCGGCCCGCCCTCAGCAATCAAATCCCACCCATAGCAGCACACGCCAAATCGCTTCCGCTGTCAACAATGAAGCCGCGCCCCTTTCAACCTCTCGACCAATCGCTTCTTCTTCCCTGGACTAAGCCCCACCCCTGGCACCTGCTCGCCCAATGGTTGCCGTCCCTTCTCCCGCCCTTAGCAACCAAGCCCCGCCCCCGTTAGAAACCAGCTTTTCGCGCCACAGCAAAGCATGAAGGGAAGCATCCCCCCCTTTCCCGCAGAGCATTGTGGGATATACTCCCCCTCCAGACGCCGCCATTTTGCAGCCTGGCCGCCATTTTTGCCTCGTTCTCAGTTTCCCTACCAAAGAAAACGACAACTTAGGGGGATTTTAAACCGTTTTATTTCCCCGTAGGGCTTGGGGGGGTATCTGGGTAATTCTCCTTAAGGAAGCCCTGGTAAAGGCGGCGGATCCGGGCCACCTCAGTGGCAGGGGGCTGCTGCCACTCGTACCAGGGGTACCAGGCCTGGCCTGGCCGCTTCAGGGCAGGCGCTGGGGGAGTTTTCCCCACGGCCGCGTGTTGGTTGGAGAAATCCTCCTCGGGGACTGGCACAAAGGGGACCTGGAGCCACAGGAGACCTGGAAAGGGAGGGGATTGAGAGGCTTGGGGGGTAGCCAGGGAGGTTGGGACTCCCTAAAAACCCAAATTCGGGGCTCACCGTGGTCCTGGGCCTGGGCGATGGCCTGGGACAGGCGCTTGTGCTGCTGCATGCAGATCCCTGAGGGGAAAAGGGGTCAGGGACACTCAGAGGTGAGGCAGGGACACAAAGGTGACCCCAAGGACACAAAGGTGACCCTCAGGTGTCCCCTCACCTGTGTGGATGGGGTGGAAGATGACACCGGAGTGGGGGCAGATGAACTGGTCCAGCAGCTTCACGTTCTGGAGGGAGGGAAAAGGGGTAAAAAAGAGAGAAAAAGAAGTGGGAAAAGGGGTAAAAAAGAGATGAAATGGGTAAAAAAAAGAAAGAAAAAGAGATGGGAAATGAGGTAAAAAGGAGAGAAAATTGATTTAAAAAGAGGGAGGAGGAAGCAGGAATGGTAAGGAAAGATAAAAACAAGGAAAAGAGGGGAAGAGGGATGGAAAAATATTACACAGCAAAATGGAGTAAGACAGATGGAAAATTAGAAAAATTACAGAGAAAGGAGAGTAAAAGAAATGGAAAAGAAAAAGAAACAAACTACTAGAAAAGGAGATCAAAAAAAGGGAAAGAATATAAAAAAAGAGGGAAAAGGGGAGCAGAAGGAAAAGCAGATATTGGGACCCAAGGAATCCTCTCCAAATTTGCCCCCAAAACTCACCCGAAAATCCACGAGCAGGTTCCGGTCCCGGCAGATGGGGCAGGGGTTCCCCACGTGCTTCCCCCGGCGCTGAGGGAAAAGGGGATGGGGCCGGTCCCAGTCACTCCCAGTCCCTCCCAGTAACCCCCACGATATCCCAATGTCCCCCAAAGTGCCACAGAGAGGCCCCAGTGCTCCCTGAAATGGCACCTGAGGTGACTCAAAAGTCCCCAGACTGCTCCCAGTACCCTCCCAGTGTCCCCCCAGCTCCCCTAAGACGCCCCTTTAACCCCCCCGAGACGCCCCCCAGAGTGTCCCCAGTGCCTCCCAGTGCTCCCAGTGCTCACCAGACAGGCCTTGCGGGTGCGCTGGGGGGGCACGGAGCCCTTGTGGTTGCGGCGGTAGCCGTGCCACACCGGCTTGTCACCGTAGGTGGCTCGGTATTCTGCGGTGGGGACATTTTTTTTGGGGGGGGTTTTGAGGGGTTGGAGACCCCAAACCCCCCCCCCGGCACCCCAAAAAATCCCCGCCCCCACACAAACCTTCGCTCTCCAGGTACTCCCAGGGCCGGTCCTGGTAGGGGGATGGGGGGGGCGGGGGGTCCTTGGGGGTTTCTTGGGTGCTGCAGAAGCGGGGGAGGTCCTGGGGAAGGGGGTTATGACGTCAGAGTTAGGTTCAGCGCGATGACATCACACAGGGGTGCCCCCTCCCTTCCCTCTCATCGCCCAACCCTTGGCAGTGATGTCAGGAGGGGTAATGCCCTCGGTGACGTCACTCTGGCCGTCCTAAAACGGGCCGTAGCACGATATGACGTCATCGCAATGCGGACGATGACGTAATGCCGCATAAAACCACGCTCCCTCTAGGCCCGAGCGCCCCCTAGCGGGGAAACCCGCCGCGCAATGACGTCACTCGGCCCGCCCGCCGCACGTGGCGCGCGCTGCCCTTTCCCCTCCCCCACCTCCCCCTCACATCCCGACCCCCCTCACCCCCCCCCAAAATTCCCGGTGTCCCCTCCCGCCGCTCCCCGCCTCACCGGAGCCCACCGCGGCCTCCCCGCACCCCTCACGCCGCCTCGTCCCGCCGCCCTCAGCGCCGCCGCGGCCCAGGCCAGCGCCATCTTCCCGCCTCTCCCTCACGCCCCGCCCAGCGCCTCTCCCACACGCGGGGGCGGGGCGCCGCCATCTTACCGTGCGGCTTCTCCCTACCCCCCACCCTCGAACCTGAGGCTGTCGCGCATGCGCAGCCCGTCCCTCGCCCTCCCCGAATTACAACTGCGCCACACGGCCCGCGGATAATGGCGGGCGGCGACGGCCGCGCGTGCGCGCTGAGGCCCCCGCGCAGGCGCCGTTGGGCAGATGAGCGGGCGGAGGGGGCGTGGCCGGCGCGAGCCGAGGGACGTGGCGAAGCGCGGGGCGTGGCCCGGTATAAAAAGCCTCGCTCGGCGCCGTCGCCGCCATTCTGAGGGCTGGTGGAGGTGAGTAAAGAGCTGCGCTGTGCCGGGGTATTTCGGGCGTGGAAGGGGGCGCGGGGTGTTTTTCCCTTTTTTTTGATTTGGGGGGGTTCTCGATACGCCGAGCATCGTTTATTTGGGGAAAAATGCGGCTCGCCCCGTCCCAAAGCCCCTCCGGGGCCGCCGCCGCCCTCACGTTCCCTCAGAGCTGAGCCTCCCCCCTCCCCCCCCTTCCAAGGGCGTTTCCTCGTTATTTTTTTTTCTTTTTCTCCCCTTTAAAACTCTAAATTCTCCCCGGGGATAACAGCTTCTAATCGTTTCGTGTCTTTTCTTCTTCGCTTCTAATTTCTTTTTTTTTCAATTTTTTTTCCCTTTTTTTTGTCGTTATGCCCATCCCCCACCTTCTCCCCCCCTCTTTATTTTTCCTTTCCCCGCTCCAGGTTTGGTTGGTCTTGAGAGACGCCGTCGCCTTTACCACGAGAGAAAAACCAATACAAACAATACAAAATACAATACAAAACGCGAACAAAACAACAAAATATATATATACAACAAAGAGGGGAAGGAAAAAAACAGGTTTTCTATCCCCCTTTGCCGTGAAGAGCCGCCGCAGCCTCTCCGTCCTTTGGACCGTCCTTGGAAGCCGTTCCAAACCCGAAGGAAACTGCCACTTTAGAAAACATATTTCCCTCTTCTTTCCCCCCAAAAAAACAAAGGCAAAACTCACTTTTTTTTCGAGCAACAACAACAAAAAAAAAAAAAAACCCAGGCAACTTTTTTTTTTCCAATTTTTTTTTTTTTTTTTGGTTTCTAGCTCGACCAGTTTAGCTCGATCCACTTCCTTTAGGGCTTTAAAAAAAAAACAACCAAAAACCCAAGGGAAAAAAAAACCAAAACCTTTTAAAAATCCCAAAATACCCGTCAAGCTGCAAAAAAAAAGTTGCTGCGTTTTTTTTAAAGCCATGATTAAAATGAAACGAATTTTTTGGCTCTAACACCACCTCCAAATGCCAAAATCCAAACCTTGAAGCGCTGTCGGCTGAGAAAAAAAATTGGATAGTAAGTGTTGAATTTTCAGCAGGCTCCCCCTTTAAAAAAATACAAGAAAAAAAGCCCTTTAAAAACCTGATTTATTTGTCACAAAGAGCAAAAAATATATAATGGGAGGAAGAGCCCCCCCCCGTGTGCTTTGAGGAGGACGTGGGCTGTGCCAAAAGGTGGTGAAAATGGAAATTTTGGGGGGATTTCGGGAGAAAAAAGCGGTTTCGGAGGAGGGGTCCACGAGCAGCTCCCACGGTTTAAAAAACAAACAAAAAATCCCACAAAAAAACCTCCCAAAAAGCTGGAAAATGGCCCCCCCCAAAAAAAAAAAAGCAAAAAAAGAACCCCAAAAAAATCGCGCGGTTGGGGAGACGGAATTTCGGGAATTGGGGGAATTTCGGGAATTTTCGGGGCATTCCCGGCGAGCAATCTGTACATAAAGATTGCACAAAAAAACCCCCAAAAAAGTAAAAAAAACGGGAATGGGGGGAGGAAAAAAAAAAAAAAAAGGGAGGAAAAATAAGAAAACCCGCGCGAAAGGGAAAAAAAAAAAAAAAAAAAAGGGAGGAAAAATAAGAAAACCCGCGCGAAAGGGAGGGGGGGGTCTGGAAATTTCAAAAAAAAAAAAACCAAGCTGATTTCTTTCCTATTTTTATTTTTTAGGTGCCATTTTAGGATTGTTTTTTGCGCTGAGAAACGCGGGGTGGTGGCGGTGGTGGCGGTTGTGGGGAGGGGGGGGAAGGTGGTGGTGGAGGAAAAAAAAACAAAACAAACTAAAATTTCAAAGATTTGGGGTTCGGGTGGAAATTTTGAGATTTAGGATGGCGGGGGGGAGTTCGCAATCTAGCAATAAAGATTGCTAGGCAGGCCGAGCTTTTCCCAAATTCTGCTTTTTTTCCCCTCAGAAAAAAATCGCTTTAAAATGGTTCCCCCCCCCCCTTTCCCCTCATAATCCTTGGGCAGCTCCAAAATGGCGCCCGCCCTTTGTTTTCCGCAATCCGCCAAAAAAAAAATTTATTTTTTGGTGTTTTTTTCTTGATTAATTCCGCGGTTTTGGCGATTTTTATTCCAGCGCGTTCCCCCCCGTTGAATTTTTCTTAAACCCCCCCTTTAATTTTGAGGGGTTTTAATCCCAAATTTGTTTTTTTTTTTTTTTAAAGGGTTTTAGCTCGTGAGGGAAAAGGGAGTTTAACCGATTTCTCTTTGTCTCTTGTGTCTTTGTGTGTGTCCCCCCCCTCCTCCTTCCTTCTTTTAAAACCTTTTTAAACCGCCTCAAATTCCTCACAAATCCCTCAAAACTCCCCAAATTTGGGGCATTTTTTTTTTTTTTCCCCAGCTCTAAAATGGCGCCGAGGCCTCGTTGTCGATGCCCCTCCCACCGTGTGGGGCCCCCCTTAAAATTCCATTTTTCCCCCTTTTTTTACCCCTCACAAAACCCCCCCCTCATCCCCAAAATCCCTTTTTTTAACCCTCCCTTCCACCAGCAGCACCCACAAATTTATTTTTTTTTTTTTCCACAGGATTTTTAATTTTTTCTTTCTTCTTCTTTTCTCTGTTCCTTTTTCTTGCTTTTTTTTTTTTTTTGGGGGTTATTTCAGGGGGGAATTTGGGATGGGGGGAGCAGTGTCCTGGAGCTTTTGATAATTTTGAATTTATCGTGACAGGGAAATGCTACCACTGGGCTTTACCCCCCCCCACTTTCCTCACACACACCAAAGCAACAACAAAAAAGGAATTTTGGGAGGGAAAACACCCCCAAAACTCCATTTTTTTCCCGATTTTCAATGGTTTTGCCCCGTTTTTGCAGCTTAGGAAGCTTTACCTCAGCAAAGGGAGGGAACAGCCACAACCCGGGTAAGCAAAAAAAATCCTTTTTTTTTTTTTTTTTAACTTTTTTTTGAGCTTAATTCCATTTCAAGGCCTTTGGATCCAGGGCTTTGAAACATCCAAAATTCCCTTTTTTCCCCCCCCTTTTCCCTCTCCTGGTGCATGCAGCAGTCGGGAGTTGGGATTTTCCTCCTTTTTTAGCCTCAAAATTCAACAGATTTGGGTGAAAACCACAGAGATCCTTTCCAAAAATTCAGATTTTTGGGGAATAAATCAATTTATTTGCCATTAATTCCTCCATTTTCTCCCCAGTGGTAGCATTTCCTATTGTGGGGGCATGGGCAGCCCTTCCTTAAATTCTCCCCCCCAAAAAATCGCATTTTTGGGGTGGTAAAATGAGTCAAAAAATGCTGTAAAATCCGAATTTTGGGGAGGGGGGGTCAGGCCTTGACCCACCCAATGTCCACCCCAATTAAACGGGCTGGGAATTGTCCCCCCCCCTTCCAAAAATGGGATTTTTTTCCATTTTTGGGGGGGATTTTGGGGACCCCCAGCTCTTTTAAGGGGGGGCTTTTCCTGTGTGAGACCGAAAAAATGAGGGGGGGTCCCCAAAAATTTAATTGGGGAGGGGGATTTGCCCCTCCCCCAGTGCTGGGACCCCCTTTTGGGGGGGTTTTGTTCCCCCCCCCGCTCATTTTTTGGGGGGGGTCAAAGGTTACAGTGAAAATTTGGGGTTAAATCTCCAAATTTTGGGGTTTTCCCCTCATTTTTTGGGGGGGATTTTTTGGGGAGTTTGTGCTGCTTTAACCTTTTCTTGTGTCTTTTCAGAGGGGTGGCTTTAATCCCCCCCCAAATTAATTTTATAATTGGGGGTTTTAATTAATTAACACTTAACGAAGCCCAGCTCTGGGTGCTGTTCCCCAAACCCAAAAATTGAGATTTTTTTTTTTTTCCACCCCCAAAAAATGGAGGTTTTTGGGAGGTTTTTAACCTCAAAAAACCTCCCCAGCTCTTCCCCTCGTTCTCATTAAGGAAACTGGGTCATAATTAAGCTTTAATTAGTGGTGATTAATGATGTCAGAGCCTGAAACCCCCCTGGGAAAGGAGGGGGGGGGGCCCAGATTGGGGTCAATGAGCGTCGGGTCATTAAGGGAGGGGTTTGGCCTTAATTAACGAGGTGTTAATTAATATTTGGCTCATTAGTCAGAGGCTTTAATGATGGCCTGAGTTTTGGGGGGAGGTGTTACACCCCCAAATGCGGCCCCTCCTTAAGTGGCAGCTTAATTAACCCCTGGTTAATTAAACTTGGTGAAGAGTTGTGCTGTTAAACCCCTCCCCAGACCCTTGTTCTGCTCATTAACAAAAAAATTAACGAAATGATGGAGAAACTGTTGGAAATGACAGATTTTGGCTTATTTTTGCTCAATGGGTTTAATTAACTTTTAAATTAAAAATTTGACGGGGGGGGGTTTGTGTCCTCGTCCCCCCTGATGTGTGTGACCCGAAATCCTCATCCCTCGTGTTAATTAATATTTGACTTAATTCATCAATTAATTAATAGATGATGTCATTGTAATGGCATCAGAGGGGGAGGGGGGCTGTGACTCCCCCCCAGTGTCCCTTGGGGGGTCCCTGGGACCCCATTTTGGGGACAATTTCGGGTCATTTTCCAGCTTTTTTGAGGTTCGTTTCTGGGATTTTCGAGTTGATTTCCCAATTTTTGGGGTCAACTCCCTTTTTCTTTTGGTTTTCCAGCATTTTAGGGTTGAGTTCCTGCATTTTTGGGGTGATTTTCTTGCTTTTTGGGGTTGATTTTCTGCTTTTTAAGGTTGTTTTCCATCATTACAGGCACAATTTCCACTTCTTTAAAATTGATTTCCCGGTTTTTGTGTTGTTCTCCAGCTTTTTGGGGTGGTTTTTCCAGATTTTTAGGGTCGAATTCTTCTTTTTGGTGTTGTTTTCTAGGTTTTTTGGGGTTGATTCTCACTTTTTTAGGGTTGTTCCGTTATCTTGGTGTATTTTTCCAATTAATTTCCCTCATTTTCAGATCGATTTTCTGCCTTTTAGGTTTGATTCCCTCCATTTCGAGTTCCATTTCCAACTTTCTGCAGTCGTTCTCTACTTTTTTTTACCTTTATTTCCCCGTTTTTTCCCAATTTTAGAGTTTGCTTTCATATTTTAGTATCAATTTTCACCTTTTAGTGGCGATTTCCCCACATTTTGGGTCATTTTCCAGCTTTTTGAGGTCGATTTCCACCATTTCAGGACGGATTTTTCTCTTTTTTTTTGCTGCCGATTTTTCTCCCATTTCTCATTTATCCCCCCCGGGATTTTTTCATGCCGTGTTTTTTCCAAATCTCCTCTTTTTCCTAATCTCATTTTTTCCTTTTTTTATTTTTTTTTCCAGGTTATTCCTGCCATGGGCTCCGGCCCCATCGACCCCAAGGAGCTCCTGAAAGGCCTCGATTGTTTCCTGGGCCGGGATGGGGAGGTCAAAACCATGGATGGCATCTCCAAAATCTTCAGGTGAAACCCCCAAAAATTCCCATTTCTGCAGCTTTTCGCACCTTTTTTCCCTTATCCCTACCCGCTAATTGTTGGTTAATTACCGTTAATTAGCCTCATGAAGGACTCCCAGAAGATGGTGAGCCGCTGCATTTACCTGAACATCCTCCTGCAGACCCGGGCCCACGACATCCTGGCCAAGTAAGAACGTGCAAAAATGGGATTTTCGGTGAATTTTGGGTGAATTTTGGGTGGTTTTGAGGTTTTCCCAGAGAGATCCGGACAGAATTCCCACTTTTTCCCCTCAGATTTATCATGGAATGCGATCTGGCCAAATAATAACATTTTAAAAACGTGAATTTTAGATGGATTTTCAGTGAATTTCTGAGGGATTTTTGCGTGGATTTGAGGTTTTCCCAGAGAAATCCAGACAGCATTCCCACTTTTTCCTCTCAGATTTCTTGTGATCAAGTAATAATATTAAAAAGTGGTTTTTAAGTGAATTTCTGAGGGATTTTGGGTGGATTTGAGGCTTTTCCCGGCCAGATCTGAGTGGAATTCCAACTTTTTCCCCTCAGATTT